TTTATTGAAAGTTTGATGTTATTGAGCGTTTTGGATATAGTATCTTCTCGTAAAAATATAACTTTAGTTTTTAATCCATTTTTTTGCATTAGAGATTATCTGCCTCATTCACCAATTTTAGTAATTACTGACAACTTTTCGGAAGACAATATGACTGAGACGAATATAATCATAATGCCCAAATGGAGAAATCAAAAACGCTAAGCGTACTACGTCATGATAACATTATAACACAGGCATTTTATATTCTCTGGTTTAACTCCTTTTTGTTTCTTTAACCCAACTTAGGTCTATCTACACGCACAAACTTTTTTAATATAAATTTTACGATTGAAAACAACACAAGATTACCCCGATAGAACGTATTCCTATAGATATAGATGATATAGCTACCCTTAATAAATTAACAACCATAACATAAACGACAAACGTGCGTCGGGTGATTGCGCCGGCTTAATAGGTTGAGAAACCGGTGTCTTATCCGGTGAAGCCTGTCCTGTTAATGATTGGTGTCCTTTTTTGCCATTATCATTTTTCGGGGGTAAACTGATTTCGTTTTTTTACGTTGCTGCAGACTTCTTGAGACGTTGTAAGGTTGATAATTATGAACCAACCTAAACGGTGCATCTTGGGATTGTTGTTGCATCTCTTGAACACACTAATTTCTACTTCAATTACTACACCCTGAACATACGAGGTTATATTAACAAAATTACAATATACATTCCTTTTACATTTTAGAAAAATTCTTGGTATTACAAAACACACGAACGATCATCAACTACCGAAGAATTTCTATCTGACATAAAACAAAACAACAATAATAACAAAATACATATTTTCTTTGGTACCAGTGGTGATAACAAAGTCACAAGCATAGCACTCCTCGTTACTCAACAACTTGCTAAACACATAATTAAAACTTATCATTTCAAAGACGACTTTTAACAGTTGATCTATGTTCAAAGGAAAACGATATTACGTATAATCAACACATATTTACCCGCTGACCAAACAAAAGATAAACAATATGATATACCAAGAAATTAATAGATTATTATCAGAGCAAACCTTTACAACCGTAACCTCAAAGGTGTTATCAAACATTACCATCAAACTCCCTCCTCTACATCAGATAATACAAAATCCGGCAGAATAGACTATATTTTGGCCATTTTAGAATTCAATTATCACGGATACACTATTAATATAGAAGAATCAACTCTGTCGACAGACCATAACGCCGTATGTATATTATTACAAACCTAATAAACAAAAATTTCTTCTTGCCAACCACCAAAATAAAATTTTTAATTATTCAAAAATGAACGAGAGTCATATGGCGGTCTTATAAAGAAAAATCAGACGTCATTTTCACATTACAACAACAAAAGAAGAATTGGCAAATCAACATAAAAGAAATTAAAGGTTTAAATGATATCATAGAAAGCATAAATCGTATCAGGAAGGAACGTATACCACAAGAAAAAGCTACACGTATTAAATACGACGCCAAATCAGGTTAGAGAATTTCAGTTACAAAAAATTATCTGCCCATACAAACCTAGAGAAACAATCACCAGATAGAAAAAATATTGGGAACATTGGAATTTAGAATTGGAGATCCATGCAAAGTGTTGTGTTGTTGTCTATTAGAACCATCAGTATAAAAATGAAGAGTATTTAAAGTAGAAAAATTACGGGCTGAAGATAATAGTAAAGAAACACTATTAGAGTTTGCCTAAAAATAAATTAGGGATAAAAAAAAGGATGAGACGAAGCTAAATTAATATTGTTTGGGCTCGACGACGAGGTGAAAACATCGTTGACGATATCAGAATTGGGACATATGTGATAAGGAATAATAGTCTGATTTTTTAAATGTGTTATACGCTAAAGTACGTGTAGTGATTAAGGGTTTCACTGGGTAAATGTTGTAGTTAGAATGTGATACGTGGGTAGGTTTGAATTTATAAAAAATTTGATCAAATCTTGCGTTCGGCGTTCGGGAGAACAGAACACATATTGGGTGTAAATCGCGATAATATGAAGTGTGTTTGTGGCATCCGTGAGAACGGGTGTTCGTTTCGTGGTGTAATATTCTGTCTTGTGTCCGCCGTTAGGGAAGGAACGTAATGGGCACGGTAGGTGAGACTAATGAACGGGTCGTTGTGTTGTTCGATAGTTTTGCCGTAAATACCATCGTTGTCAACTGGATCCCAGGTAATGGTCCATTCGTCCGCAGGGCGGTGCAAAATTTTGTTAGAAATAATTTTGGGAACATCATATGATGTTAGAATATTGAAGAGGTGTGATGAGTCTACGATTATTAGTTGATAATGTGCCTTTTTTTTCTAAGGTAGTGAACCAGGAGGGAGTTTTTCCTTTATAGTTTTTATTTTGAGATAATTTGACGTCTTTCCATGTATCGAGGAAGTTACCATCAAATGGAGCAGAGTTGGTCCATAAAAAGAATTTGTTTATTCCGTAGGGAGGTGAGATCCGCTGCGGAGAGGTCGTCTTTCAGGTAAGTAACGGAAAGTGATGTTGAACTTGTTATAAAGCTGGAGTTCTCGCGTGAGAAGAGAAGGTTTGGTCGTTTTAGGTTGTGATTTAAGTTAGGGAAATGTGGTAACCAATATTCTGTTTGTGTGCTGATGATTTTTTGAATTCCAATGACTCTCATAGATGGCGTATTAAACACCACATTAGTTATGGAGCAGTGGGAATAAAATTGGTTAAAAAAGAAACTGTTTGTGGATTATAGTGAGTTGAGATGGGTAATTTTAAATGATGTTTGAAAAGTTTTTTGATAGGTGACAGAAGAGCGTTACATTGCGCTTCTGTGAGGATTGTAAATTGGTTAACGTACTCGAGTTTAGGTAATAATACCTTAGATTAGGTGATCATGTGTGATTTTTTATATTTCATTGTGTAAGCGAAGTTTGAAATGATTTGTTTTAGTTTTCGCAAATTAGGGGTATGGGTACAAAATAATAATAATTCTTAAATAAAAATAAAAATAATAAAGTTGTTAATTAATAGTAAAATTTTGATCGTCCTAGTCACCCCCAAGTAAAACGAATAAATTTTTTAATTTTGTTAGGAGTTACGAGTAATTATTCATTTTTTTTGGTATTTTAGTAATAAATAGAGGTTTATAAATAATTGTTTTTTTAAAACTTAGTTTTTAGCATGATGAATAAATATAGTGATAAGTTACAATGGTAATAATTATTAATAATCAGAATTTTTACTTTCTATTAGGATTACAAATCTATTTGCCGTTGTAGGAGTAGTCAATTTTGTGCTTTTCCTTAAATATTAGTAATATTTTATTTCAATTATTTCAATGGAGTAATATTTATCCTTTTTTGGTTAACTTGATTTTGATAATTATCTCTTTGTCATACGTCATATAAGTCCTTTTTACAATTGCATTTCAAAAAAAAGATTAGTACGCCGACAAACATAATAACAAATAAAAAAAAAATTTTTTTTTTAAATAACATACCTAAAAAAGTATATTTATAAATGAAAATCACATTCTTAAAATAATCGGCGTTACCTATTTTTTCATTAAATGTAATACGCATAAAATTCACAAAGTATTATTTAAAAATTGACTATTCTTTATCCCACTCTCAATATAATATGGCTAATTATTCTAATAGAAATTAAAATGCACGTTTGGTTATCGTTTTTATTGTAAAATTTGTATTGACTAATCAGACCACAATTATAATTGACTGGATATTGTCTTTTTTTGGGCTGAGCGACATGCAATATGGCGAACAGTTTTTTCCATTTTCAATTTAACGTAATTGTACTATTTTTTTTTCATTATGTTGTGTCGTCCTAAAAATAGTTGCAGGCTGAATTAATAAATGTTTATTTTCTATCTTAGGAATAGCTTTTTGAAAATTATGGTAATACTAAATTAACGAATAACGAGTTACAAATAGTCACGTATGATATAAACTTTAAACATGTGATCTCCTTGATGCTGCGGTCGATCTAGCCGACGCATCGGACTTATTGTTTAAAAATAATATATTTATTAACAAGTTAAAACATTTATTTTTTAGCTAAATTAAAATAAATATAGACTTTACACAGGGAGCAGGGCATTCTTTTTTTTTAATGATTTTACGACAAACAGTTATATTAAATCTAAATAAGAAACAAAGTCTAGATCATTTTATTAATTTTTTCCTTTAAGAATTTAAAAAATGACGTTGTGTTTGTTAAACTCTTCAATTACACGCAGGCCACACCTCGCTACACGCGTAAGAGTTGTTTCAACTTATACAACTACTTCGTTTAGTCATTACATATAAAGTGTTGAACATGCCGCCAATGTTTTGAAGGTAAAGTAACAGTTCACGTTTACATTAATAAAAATTTTGTTTGATTTATGATTTTTTAATTAATTAATCAATTATATTTTTAGAAAAAAAAAAATTTATTTATTTCGCTTTTTTTTGCAAATAATATGCTGACCCTATTTTAAAAAATTGTCAGAAATTAGTTGCGTTGGAGGTGGAACTAACGCTATTTTCATATCATTTAGACAGGCTGGAAAATTCGTTGTATCGACGATTTTCTTAGTGGGTGATAATACCATTTCAGCAAGTTATTTATATTACGGAACTTACATTCAATTTATGGTATTTTTTTTTATTGTAAACTAAAATCTAATAAAGCGAACGTCATGTGTGTGAAATTATTTTTTAAACGCATAGGCTACACTTCCAAAATTGAGGATCAATGGGATCAATGATCCAGAAAAATAATTGACGATAAAACGAAAGCTATACATCTTGGATCTATGGAAAATCCGAAATTTAATATTCCAGATTTTATAAGTTTGCACGTGATGCAAGAGCTGGCAAGAAAGAGATAATGGAAGATTCCAACTTTTACTGATCCAAGTCTTGATTACCATGGGTTAATTTATCAGTATAAATTTGAGTATGATGCTTTACTATTCAGAAATTATGAGTAATATAGGACCACGTCAAGATCCTTTTGGATCATTTTTATTAATACAAGGTCTTGAAACCTTATCATTGAGAGTTTGTAGGCAAGCTGAAAGTGCTTTAGTGGTTAGAATTGAGAGGTGATGTCCTATGGATTTCACTTGAATCACATCCTTGTCATGAAAATATACGCGAAATGGTTTTGGATATTTTGACTTTTTGCGTTAAAGCGACGCAAATGTTAAAGCTGCATTTATTGAAGCTTTACAACTTGCAAGTAAGGTTAAACAAATTTTAATAATTGTTTTTTTGTTTATTTTATGAAAATTTTATTATTATTTTATTTTCTTTAGCCATTTGACAAATGTGGTGACGCTGGTACATCTTGCTTCAAGAATAATGGATGAAGAACGGTTATCGATAGGAGTAAATAAGGAGATGATACGTGTCTCTGTTGGAAGAAGGCTTTGCAATTACGTTTGAAAAAATTAAAAATATCCTTGACTTTTTTATTCACGTAATTTTATTTTCACGTACAAACAACAATAGCATAATTTATTTTATATCTAGATTAAAAAAAGCATTATTATAATTTTTTTTTTAATGGAGAATGTGAATCAAAATATTTATAATAGACTTAAAACAATTTTAATGTTTTACGATGTAGTACTTATAAAGTCTTTAACAAATAGCATCAGAGAATATTAAAACACGCAAATATTTTTTGCTGGGGGTCTTATTATTGAATATAGGCACGAGTTTCCCTGATAATAGCATCTATAAGTTCGCTAAATTACTTTATTCAAGAGAAATGATTGCTCTCGCACGTAAGAATACTTTTTCTTCTTTATCATTCAAAATCTCATTAACTTCTTTGTCATTTTTTGGGTGTTGTCAACCGAACTTGGATTGGTTCTATATTTATGTTCTTCAAAGAATCTCCCTTTTTATCCAACCCTTTACAAAAGAGATATTAAACTACATAGTCTAAGTAATTACCCAACCCTCGAAAGAATCGTCCTTCCTGTTCTTAAAAAAGAAAACTAGGCATAACCAGTACTAGAATTTGGCTTAGAATTAAATTTTTTTTCAAATTTGTAATAATAATATTATTTTCACGAAGAAAATTTCACGTGACCCTTTCGCCGATCGTAAATTAATGATCCGCGAATTTTGTTGTAATGCCCAGGATCATCCAAGGAATTTATTAATTATAAACCGCTGCAATATATTTATAGTAGGTATATAACCTACGAATTTTGAAGTGTTTTAAAGTGAAATACGTATAAAAACCTCCTGGAATGAAGTTAAACTGATTCATATACAATATTTAGTATTGTATAGTTCTTTGTACTATTTTGAGAAAATAGTTTTATGATTTTATTACTTCGGGAAATAATTAATTTTATTAGTTAACAAATGAGGATGATGATATAATGTTTACGATCATCAGCCTTTTAATGAAGATTATAATTTTAGAAATAATTAATTTTATTGGTTATTTAATGGAGATCACAAATTGAGAAATAATCACGCAGAAAAATGATGATCATAAGTTAGGATGAGGACATAACAACATATATAATAACATTCGATCGACCTTCTTAGAGATAACCTTTAACCTTTAATCTTTAACCTTTAACCTTCAAAAAGACAAACTTTGGATCTCAAATTATTATATTTTACACATTCCTTTTAATATTCGATTCTTTTGTACTATTTTCTTATGATGAAAAAGTACCTTTCTTAATAATTTATGAATTTTATTGATGATTTAATCTAAGTTACCCTTGTAGTTTCACCGGGACAAACAAGTTATTTTATTAATTTTATTCGTGAATTTCATTTTATTATTATATTTTTGGGAGGTGAATTCATGAATTTTATTAATTTTTATTAGAGAAATAATTTTTGAAAGTGGGTTTTTGGTGAAATTTCATGAGAAATAATTTATTTTTGATATTACGGAAGGGGAAATTATTGTAGTTTATTAGTAAAAATTTATTTTAGATTTGGAATATTTAATGAATTTATAATTTTTATTAGATGAATTTTATTTTATTTTATTATTTTGTTATTTTTGATTTGATATTATTATATACCTGCTCACTAGTGAGCAGGAAATTTATTAATGAAAACCAAGGATTTAATGTAAGGTCACAAGACCCCGGCCTTACAAGTGGAGGACCTGAGTATTGTAATGATCATCCTCATATGATTCCAACGATAGGATGAAGGATTTGAGGATTAATGAAAAGGGTATTTTATAATTTATCTTTAGAAAAATTCGAGGATTAATGAAGAAGGAAAAAGAATTATAGTTTAGCTTTCTTTATTGGTTGTAATTTGGTCACCGTATTGCCTTAATGCCCTAAATTCTATACATAATATGAAATACCTTGTTTTTATACCGGTATTGATGACCTTGTATAGGTGCTACGAGAGCTGTTAAATCAAGCCGTAGTAAAATAACGCATGCATGTAATAACGGCCATCTAAGTTACAAATGGGAATTTTAGAAATAGATTTTATGAGGGTAGATTTGGAAGAAATGGTGAAAGAAAAATATTTTTAAAAATACGAAAAAGAATTTTAATTTATTAATGAAAGAAAAGAAAAATTTGAGGGTATGATATAATTTTGAGAAATTTTGAGAGATTAAAAGGATGGAATTATTATATTTTACACATTCCTTTTGCTATTTCCCCACAGCACTTCAATAGCAACTCTATTTTCCTGCGTCCAAACTTGTTTGATAACTTATACTTTCGAATGAAAAATCGCTATTTCGTGAGCTCACCCAAGTGTTTTTTGAGAAAAAACTTGTATCTTCGTTAAAAACTCGTTTCACTATTAAAAAGACTCCATTTTAATCTTTGTAAACCTAAATTTTGACCGAGTGATCGACAAGTAAGGCCGGGCAAAAAAAATTTTTAGATTCTCGGGACATAAAATTTTAAAAATGACCCGGCCGGCCGGCATTTTTTTTTATATTTGTAAAATTTTTTTATATGTAAAATTTTTTTACGCCACATTGGCCAATAACTTATAATCACGTTATAAAATTTTTTACTATAAAAAAAAATTTCCCATTTTTCGAAAAACTGACCCGGCCGGGTCACGAGAATCTAAAATTTTTTTTTGCCCGGCCTAAGTTTCATTATGGAAAGCCACCCTTGACAAGATGTGATATTTGGGCATCATGCCTGTTGATGTCTCGGATCATATCGGATATACAGTCAAGTCTCTCTAAGCACACCCTCTATAAGTACACTCCATCTATAAGTACACTCCCAAGCTCAGCAGTCCTGAGCTTGGGACTTAGTAGTTAAGACTTAAGTGCATCCTTTTTATTAACACCGTGCAGTAAATTTTCCGAACCATATATATTAAAGTATATTCCCTAAATGCACTCACGTGATTTCAACTCTTGATCCACCAATAATTTTGTGTAAAATAAGAGGTAAAATGGTGGAACATTATTTTTTTAAATAAACGTCACGCAATTTTTGCTGTGCAAGTGCGCGTCGCTGCGGTTTTATCCCAATATCTCATTGCAGTTTGTGACGTTAAATATGTACAATACGGCATGTAATATAATAAACAATAATAAAATATAATTTTTTATATCACATGAAATTTTATAAAATTATATAAGTGCACACCCTCTATAAGTGCACGTTCATGCACTTAGAGAGAGTTGATATGATGTTTGTACAAATTTATATAACCGGTAAATTTACCATAAACAAAATTTACTATTTTCATATATCTGCATGATATAACTGACATACATGAAATGCATGACGTCTGAACATCAACCATTGCAATATTATGGTGCAATATTTTATGACCCTATTTTATATGCAAAAAAAAAAATTCTATTTTTGTACAAACTTTCTTCTCGTTTCCTTTCTTGTTAATTTGTACTTCCCATTATTATCTTCTATGCTGAAATGTTTATTTATTACGCCCAATGTTTATACATATTTCCACTAGTTGATCACATGTGCATCCCAACTAAATAAGTAATAATAACAAACTAAAAAATAATTGTATGCATTTTACTCCGATAAAAGTACTGGAATTCTTAGAAACTCTTGATGACACATAATTCAGATATAAATAAAGTACTAAGTGCGTTCAAAGTTTCAAATTCATTATCTTATTGATACTTGTTTATAATATGGAACCTTTAAATACAATTGATGAAAATTCTTTTGACCCGACTCCAAGATTAAAATCAAGTCCTATACCGATTAAATTTATTTCTTTTGATATAGGAGATAAAAATTGTATTTATTGTGGAAATGAATATGTTAAGACGCTTTTTTGTTACCAACATTATTGCAAAAAATGTTTATCAAGTTATATTAATGACATAACTGATAATAATATTTACTTAGACGTATATATTTACACAATGGACTTAGAATGTATTGAACATGAAATAAGTAGGACAAAAGTACCGCAAATTATTCAAGAATGCTGCATAAACTGTTTGAGAATTTTATGTTTTAAACAAATAGATGGATACATTAGTGATTATGGACTTGATAGAAACAATCTCACCATATACTATAATGTGATTGAAAGTGAAAAATACTGCAAGTTATGTGGAAAGTCACTATATCAAGGAACAGATAGAAAGATTATGATGCAATCTAAATTATGCTCAGATTGTTATCTAATTTCTTCTGGACTGATAGAATCAACCTTGTTTAAAAAGCAAATTTCAATTCTTTGCTTACCTTGGTGGTATAATAGTTCTTTTTGTGACATATGTCGTGCAAAGTTAAAATTTATATCAGACAGTCAGAAGTACTGTGTAGATTGTTATTTATTTTATATTGGATGCAGATATTGTTTAACAACAAATATTATATTTGGAATTACAGGCCAATCTCAATGTAGAAAATGTAAAAGAATATCACTTATCATAAACAGCAGTGATTACAGTGGACTTGATGATTTTCTTCTTAATAATATTATATATGATTATTTAGAGAGAGTTGAGTTTGCAAATAGTGTAAAAATAATTGATAAATATTTTGTACTACAGAATATATTAAGTTCTATCTTTAAAATAAATGGTAGTATAAGAACAATTAGATGGATACCGTTTTCTCAATTTATGAATGTAAAAGAAATAGCAAAAGGGGGATATGGTATTATATATAAAGCAACTTGGTTAAGTAAAAATGAAACTGTCATTTTAAAAAGATTTGAAAATTCTAAAAATATTGCCAAATATTTTTTAAATGAGGTAAATAAATACCTTTAAATAATTTTTTGAATAATTCCTTAATAAATGAATTTAATCTTTAAATCTTTAAATTTAATAGTTAAAAGCATTACTACATTGTATTAAAAATTATAACGGTCATCTCATTAAAACTTATGGATTTACAAAAGATCCTGAATTAGAGGATTATATAATAGTTATGAGATATGCGTCAGAAGGAGATTTGCATAAGTATTTACAGAAAAATTTTACAAAAGTTAAATGGAATAAACAAAAACCACATATTTTATGGCAAATTTCAAAGGGGTATTTATATTATATATTATTTTATTCTATATATCAGGTAATTAATTTTTTATTATTTTAGACTTGAAGCCATTCATAATGAAAATTTTATACATCGAGACTTTCATAGTGGAAATATATTATTTGATTCCAATGATACTTATAAAAATGGTAAATGGAAAACCGGAGACCTAGGATTATCACAAGCTGTAAATAATAATAGATTATCAAATAATGAAATATATGGAGTAATACCCTATATTGCACCAGAAATCTTCAAAGGATCTAAATTTACTAAAGAAGCTGATATTTATAGTTTTGGTATGATTATGTGGGAACTTACAACAGGTTGTAAACCTTTTAATAATATTAAACATGATCATAGTCTTATTTATAAAATTCTTGATGGTGAACGCCCTAAAATTACGGAAGATACTCCAGAATGTTATGCTAATTTAATGAAAAGTTGTTGGGACCCTGATCCAAAGAAAAGGCCTTCTATAAAAGAAATTCGTTTAGCTTTTGGTAGATGGTATTTTAAAGGTGAAAATAAAACAGAATTCAATCAAGCCGAAACAATAAGAAAGAAACTGATAGAATCGAAGAAGATTGGACCTGAATTTGCTGAAAAACGGCATTCTGAAGCCATTTATACAAGTAGACCATTAAGTGCTTTAATTTCTAAATGTTCATCCACTTATTCATCATCAATAATTTCATTTGGCAATAAACAAGGTATTATTACTACATTGTAATTTTAAAATATTTTATCTATTATTTATAAGGAATATGCAATACAATTTAGATTCTAATTATATTTCAGCGGAATTAGAGCTTGATATAGACATTGAAAGGTATTTAAATAACAAAAGAAAAATGTTTTTAACGAAACAACTATTTTTTATTAACTAATCATTACAAAATTTAAGTTCAATTCAAAATTTTTCTCTCCTTAAAAAAGAGAAGGAATGAAATATTTTTTAAATGTTGAAACTCATGATAATGGTAAATATTTATCTGGCTTTGATTTATTTTTGTTTTAATATTTACATTAATGTTTATTTGAGTCAAATTTAAAGCATATTATTATAGAAAACATGTACATAGAACTATGAAAGTTAAAATATTTCGTTATTAGAGCATTTAGCAGAGGATTTAGCAACTTTCAATGGTTTGTATTAGACTTTTTCATTATTAAAGCAAAAAATAAGAATCTATAAGAAGAATTTGCAATTTTTCATTTGATAGAGATTACAATTAGTTTAGAAAAAAATTGTAAAATCAAATAATTTATTTCCTAACTTGTTTTTTGACGTTATTTATCCGATTATCTGATTTCTGGAAGAAATTTTAGTGATTTCTCAATTTTAGGATTTTTAGGGTAGTTTCATTGGCGATAGTATGATTTTGAAGTGGTGATCATCCTGCATGACCTTCCTTATTCATTCACTTTTTCGCTTAATTTGTAGTTTGTCCTCTGATCTTCATGCAGATTTTCATCTTTTTGGGAATGCACCATGTGAACTTCGTAGTTGAATCTTATACTATAGCTATATAGCTATATAGCTATAGCTATAGCTATTGCTATTGCTATTGCTATTGCTATTGCTATTGCTATTGCTATAGCTATAGCTATAGCTATAGACGTTGTTATTGCAATATTGCAATATTGCAATATTGCTTCTTTGATATCATTAGAATAAAATTACAAAATATTCATTTTTGTGCCACTTTTACTACATATTAACTTGCGGCATCAAGCAATAAGTTTTATATTTGTATTTAATTTTGTTGATCGTTATTGATTTACAAAGAAATAAAATATTCAAATATATTTCTTTTTTTCGTTAAAAAAATTAAAACGTGTAGATGATCATGCAGATCTTGTGATAATCAATTAAAAAGTGTTAGACGAAATTTTTTTTCAAAAATTTAAAATTTTTTCTTTTTTTATAAAACATCATAAATTTTTTTTACATTTTTTTTCTATTTGTAAGATTAAATATTTGGATATTACATAATTACAAATTAAATTTATAAGACTTTCTTTTAGAAAATAATGTGATATTTCATAAAAAATATTTTTTCTTACTATTTTTATTTTAAACTACTTGAATTTATAATTAATGAAAGAATTAATTTAAAATTCATGTTATTTCAAATTTTTGTCAACTCAGTTCTTAATTTTCATATTACATTTTTTTTATATAAAATTTTTTTAAATTAAACTTCTTTTCCAAATACATTATAATCTTCACTTTGGACAAATGAAATTAACTTTATTTATTAATTAAAAGTTGTTCAGGCAGGTTAAAACCACTTGAATATTAATTTTCATGAATGTAGGTGTAGTGCTTAGAGAAGATTGCATTTTTGTTAATGATATTAACTCTCTTTTCTTTTTTTTTAATTTAGAGCGTAATATCTCCACTTTGAACAAATGAAATCAACTTCATTTATTAATTGAAAGTTGTTCAGGCAGATTAAAAGCACTTGAATATTAATTTTCATGAATGTAGGTGTAGTGCTTAAAGAAGATTGCATTTTTCTTGATGATATTAACTCTCTTTTCTATTTTTTTTTAATTTAGAGCGTAATATCTCCACTTTGGACAAATGAAATCAACTTTATTTATTAATTGAAAGTTGTTCAGGCAGGTTGAAACCACTTGAATATTAATTTTCATGAATGTAGGTGTAGTGCTTAGAGAAGATTGCATTTTTCTTGATGATATTAACTCTCTTTTCTATTTTTTTTTAATTTAGAGCGTAATATCTCCACTTTGGACAAATGAAATCAACTTTATTTATTAATTGAAAGTTGTTCAGGCAGGTTAAAAGCACTTGAATATTAATTTTCATAAAATTTTATTTTTTTGTAGCTGTATTAACTTTAAAACACTTATTACAACTTACGTCATTATTTTAAATAATAAGAATTAATTTATATTATTGGCTAATTATAATCACATGATACTAAGGATTTTATATTTGATTTAATAATTTAGTAAAATATTATTAAAATCAAATTCATATAAATGCAACTAATATTAATAATTGTAATTTAAGCAGTAAATTCATTAACCAAATCGTGTAAATTCTATGCTTAAATTATGTAATTTCTGTGATCAAATCAATATAAATTCGGCATAAATTATGGTCAAATCATGCAAAATGATACATTTTTGTGATATGGAATTGTGCATTTTTCCGTATCCCTATATAGATTAGAAACATTATTTTTAAGAAAAAATTGTATAAAACCTTATTAAAAACATGATTTTTTATAGGTTTAATTATAATAAAATTTTATTATTTGGTAATATTTTACATACAATTCAATTTATTTATATCAAAAAATTTTTTTAATTATAAATGTTATGTTTGGGGGACGAAGTCCCCTGGCAAATCGCATATTCTAGTTATAAATAAATTTCAAAACTTTGTGTAACACTACCATATTTTCAAGAGAAACTACTTAAATAACTGAAAATTTCTCAAGATTTCCTCTGGTAATCTCTAATAATTGACCCTTCTCTACATAGTCATTCAGGAAAATTCTGGATTTTCCAGATTTGTGAAAACCTATTTCGGGAGTCGCACTAATTTGAAAATAGTGATAAAGTCACTTCCAAATCTTAGTTAATTTCAGGGATTGTTTATTGTTGCTAATAAATTTATGAAATCCACTTAGTTTATTACAGTATAAGAGAAAAAAGTCTCTTAATTTACATCATATTAGAATTTAGTAGTGAATAAATTATTTGACAAATAATTACATAAAAACAAATGACAAAATATCTTAAATTATAATAAGGGGTGGCAAAGTCAGTATCATACTAGAGTTTGGAATCAGTTGCATTTTTTGAAAACCAAGGATTCAACCAGTTTGACCTCTTTCAATTGTTTTTACAAAACTGGCTAAACCCGATTTAGCGCTTAATAGTTATTATGCAGCTAAGTAGGATCATGTCATTTTTAACATACAATTATTATTGCGTAAAATATTTTTGATATTTTTTGATGCATTACGTCATTTAGACTAAATATCACAAATATTAATTTTTATAGGTAAAATAACTATCATTTACTATGCATTTTATATGGAACACGTCTGCAATAACACAGTTATTGGGTATGGTAGTTAAACTATTATTTATCAAATTTACATAATAAATAAATATAATGAAGTTAGCCTCAAATGAAGTTATGTTCCTAACTTTCTGGTTATATTTTATTGTAATTTTCAAAATTATTGAAATTGATATAGTGTGATTTTTTCCATGCATTATTTATACACAAAACACAGATTTCATCCAGATATTATCCAGGTAACAAATGGAAAATGTCCATAAAATGTATGTAAAATAACCTGAAAAATAAAATTCACACTGAAAATTTTATAATTTTGAATACCACAATAATTACCAACTCTACAATGAACTACATGAACAGATTAGAGATTAGGATTGAAACAGTTCTCTCATGAATTCATTATTAGGGATGGGGACGGTTCCATCGGTTCAGTTCTGGTTCTATAGAACAGCGGAACCAGTTCCGAGCAGAACCGTTCTGAAAAATCAGTTCCAATCAGTTCAGTTCTATGGAACGGTCCGTTTCTGAGTAGAACCGTTCGAAAAGTTGGTTCCAAGCAGTTCAACTCTATAGAACGGTCCAAGAAGTTAACTAAATGCTACCCGGAAAAAAGGTTATCCGGTAAGATACATATGAACTGAATGGAACCAAACTGCTCGAATCAAACGGTTCCGTTCTAGGAACTGAACTGGGTTCTCAGTTCTGACTCTGTTCTCAGTTCCAAACTGCTCAGCAGTGGAACTTTTCCATCCCTATTCATTATTCATAAAATAATTCACATACATGATGGTTTAACCACATTATACAAATTCTGCTTTACTTGACAAAAACTGCAACCATACATTTCGTGTAAAGGAGATTATGCATTTATACCTATTGCAAAAACTGTAAAGTGACTTACACATAAATAAAAAAGTTTATGATATAGTTAGAAGGTGCAAATATAACCAATCTTGTATCTCATTTAAGGGAAAATTATCTGGAATGTTTAGATGAACAGTATGAATTTGAATATTAAACTTAAATTTCCTAAAACAAATTGAATTGCAAATAAAAAATTACTTTAATAAATATCATATTTGCATTCAATGATGGAAATTCAATATTCTAAGTGTATGCATGCACAAAATTTAAAAACCCTGCACATGGCCAAAATTTTTGTGTGTACAAAATGCAAAATGTACACACAAAAATTTGCACATTTGCACACATTTTTAAATATTTCTACAATTTCTATACATTGCATATAATGTAAAATCTCAAATAATGTGCATATTCTGCACATGATACAAACCTGAATTTCCAGAACTGCTTGTATTTACAGTCATCCCTCTCTATAGTCATCCCCTATATAAGCACACCCTCTCTTAAGTCATACCACTTTCAAGTCCTGATTTTTTATATAGTGAAATGCCCCCTATATAGTCACAAATTGATTATAGTCACTATCACAGCAATCGTTGACCTGATGTAATAGTTAACATATGGAAAATTCCCACTTATAGTCATTTCACGTGATTGAATTTATATTTGAAAAATGTATATCGCATTCTGAAGATAATTATTTCATCAGTTTCATAGTATAATTTCATAATAACAATAAGATTTGCTTAAAATACAGTTAAAATGGATATAAAAGGAGTGGTAACTTTATGCATTTTTTCATGTATGCATTTGTCAGTTTATGCTGTAGGCTAAAAAATTGTATAAGCTCAAATTAGGTAAAGTGAAAGGTAGGAAAAATTAAAATTATTATTTTTTTTTTTTATAATATGATTTCTATATCTGATAATCAAGTTAGCATTCATTTTACTTACAATAAAAAATTATATATAATCACGCCAAATCAAAACTTTGCATAGATGTGACTGTACATGTAAAGCCTCACTATAAGCATACCTCTCCATAGTCATACCATTTGGTGGTCCCGAAGGATGTGACTGTAGAGGGGGACAACTGTAATAATATTTAATTCCTTTTACTTTACAGGCCTGGTCATAAGTATCTGTACCTAATATTTCTGAAGTTATATGATAACCTATCCTAAAAATTTCCAGGATTGAAGATCAATACTAATCTTGATCACCTACAAAATTAGAACAAATAAATCAGGAGTTAGATGATCGATGAATTTTAGCTGCAAAATATCGATCTTTCCTAATAAATTATAAAATAGTTTTTGTGCGTAAATATTCAATCAAAATTTTGAAAAAATAGTTACTTACATTCATTATAAGTAAAATTATGGCCACTTATTGGGCCAAAAATACCATTAAAATAAAAACTTAAATAATTTTTATGGTGACTTTTTTACTCTATCTGGAATTTAGCAAACCAATTTGCTTTCAGGCTTCAGCAGAACCTTAATACCCATTTTATGCATAGTAGATCTCCTGGCTTATTCCTATGAGATTTTGACAAAAAAAACTTAGAATATAAATACTGCATAAAATTAATGATACTCACCATATTCAAAAATTGCGAAAAAAAGAAAGGAAGATTATGGTATAATTGAAATTCCCTGGCTATGCATCTAATCTGATAAAATTCTAAAGAAATGTGTAATGACACTTAAAAATTAATATATGTCAAAAATATATGTACTTACTAAAAGGTTAGGGCATGAAATAATGAAGGAATGAAAATATTCATGTAAAAAATGATAATTTTTATAAGACACAAAATTTGCCTGATCATCTAACTTTTGATTTATATATTGTACAACCCTCTAATTTGTATGTGATCAAGATTAGTACTTCAATCCTAGGGTAGTTTATCACATGACTTTGGAAAAATATTGGGTACGGATACTTGTGACATACAATAAAATATTTCCATATAACTGATAAATATAAAGAATAAAAGATTTATTAAATATCTTTTATTATACAATCAAAACACTCAGAATATCCATGAACTAAAATTTTAGAATATTCATGAACTAAAATTTCAGTAAGTTTGCGACTTGTATAATATGCTTGTGGATGATATTGTATAATAAAATCATTTGCTTGTTCTTGTACTAAAGCTTTGTCTGCTTCTACAAATTCCAACACATTATTTTTTAATTGATTGTCAATATTAGGTACTAAATATTTATAATTTCCATCCCTGTTTACTTTATAATATTCATTAATCCATCTAATCCATTCAGATATAATATTTTCAAGCATTATTGTAGTTGGTCTATTGGAAGAATTTGAATCCCAACATTTTTTCATTAAATCTATATAACATTTTGGAGTATTTTTCATAATTTTAGGACGTTTCCCTTCACAAATACTCAAGCAAAGTTCAAGATCATGCGCTTCATAATTAAATGGAGGAATACCTGATGTAATTTCCCACATTATCATTGAAAAACTATAAATATCACTTGCTGGGGTATAGGGTTTATTTCTTAATATTTCAGGTGCCATATAAGGTAAAACTCCATAAATTTCATTATTATTAGAATCTTGTATTTCACTTATAGGTTTACATAATCCTAAATCAATAATAAATATTTCATTGTAATTATCTGATACTAAAATGTTACCATCATGGAAATCACCATGAGTTAAATTTGATTCATGAATTACTTTAAGTCCTAATATAATTTTTTTCAATAATTGTAACTTTTCTTGCCACTTTAATTTAATTATATTAGATAAACATTTTCTTAAACTTCCTTTTTTTGCATAACTCATAACTATTATATAATTTAAATTATTTGGATTTTGGGTAATTCCAAGAAATTGAATAAATTTTGAAAATGATTTTTTCTGACAATTATAATGATATTTCCACTATAAAAATGATAAAAAATTATTAAATTTTTGCAAAAAAATAAAATTTGCTATTAAATATAAGTACCATACCTCATTCAGAAATTTATTATTTAAAGTTGATGAATTATTAAGCGTTTTAAGAATGACCTCATAACCTGTTTGAAAATTACATCTATTCCATTGTTGTTTACTAAAATTCCAACTATAAATAGGTCCATCTGACCAAATAGCTTTATAAATTTCACTAAATCCTCCTTTATCATAATAATTAATGCTTGACAATTTATTATAAGGTATCCATTCTAATATTTCATAATTATTTTTAGCATTTAGTTGTGCTTCTTGAATAAATTTATCAATAAATTCATTTTTACTAGTCCACTTTGAAAAATCTTGTTGAAATCGTTTAGCATTACATTGTAGACACCACTGATAATCAGTATATGGTTGTTTGCATTCATTACATAATTCAACCTCATTTCCGGAATTTACTTTGTTACTTTCTGCTGCTTTTTGATGCCAATAAAAAGCTTTTTCTAAATTCTTTTCTGTACCTTCTCCATTTGAATAACACATAGCTAAATTAGACATTGCTTTTTCATCACCATTTTCTGCTGCTTTTTGATACCAATAAAAGGCTTCTTTTAAATTCTTTTCTGTTCCTTCTCCGTTTCTATAACATATGGCTAAACCGAACATTGCATTAATATGATCTTTTTCTGCTGCTTTTTGATACCAATAAAAAGCTTTTTCTAAATTCTTTTCTGTTCCTTCTCCATTTAAATAACAAACAGCCAAACTAAACATTGCTTTTTCATCATCTTTTTCTGCTGATTTTTGATACCAATAAAAGGCTGCTTCTAAATTTTTTTCTGTACCTTCTCCATTTAAATAACATATGGCAAGATTAAACATTGCTTTTTCATCTCCATTTTTTGCTGCTTTTTGATACCAATGAAAGGCTTTTTCCAAATTCTTCTTTATTCCTTCTCCATTTCCATAACTATTGGCCAAATTAAACATTGCATTAGTATAACCTTTTTCTGCTGCTTTTTGATACCAATAAAAAGCTTTCTCTAAATTCTTTTCTGTTCCTTCTCCATTCCTATAACATATAGCTAAACCAAACATTGCATTAATATAATCTTTTTCTGCTGCTTTTTGATACCAATAAAAAGAGTTTTCTAAATTTTTTTCTGTTCCTTCTCCATTTTTATAACATATAGCTAAACCAAACATTGCATTAATATGATCTTTTTCTGCTGCTATTTGACACCAATAAAAGGCTTTTTCTAAATTTTTTTCTGTTCCTTCTCCATTTTCATAACATATAGCTAAATTAAACATTGCATTAATATAATTTTTTTCTGCTGCCTTTTGATACCAATAAAAAGCTTTTTTGAAATCCTTTTCTGTTCCTTCTCCATTTCTATAACATGTAGCTAAACCAAACATTGCATTAATATGATCTTTTTCCACTGCTTTTTGATACCAATGAAAAGCTTTTTCTAGATTCTTTTCTGTTCCTTCTCCATTTCTATAGCATATAGCTAAATTAAACATTGCATCTTTAACATTATTTTCTGCTGCTTTCTGATACCAATAAAAGGCTTCTTCTAAATTCTTTTTTATTCCTTCTCCATTTCTATAACATATAGCTAAATTAAACATTGCTTCTTTAACTCCACTTTCTGCTGCCTTTTGATACCAATAAAAGGTCTTTTCTAAATTCTTTTCTACTTCTTCTCCATTTGTATAACATATGGCTAATTTAAACATTGCTTCTTTAACTCCATTTTTTGCAGCTTTTTGATACCAATAAAAGGTTTTTTCTAAATTTTTTTCTGTTCCTTCTCCATTTCTATAACATATAGCTAAATTAAACATTGCTTTAATATGGTCTTTTTCTGCTGCTTTTTGATACCAATAAAAAGTTTTTTCTAAATTCTTTTCTATTCCTTCTCCATTTTTATAACATATAGCTAAACTAAACATTGCTTTTTCATCGCCATTTTCTGCTGCCTTTTGATACCAATAAAAGGCTTTTTCTAAACTTTTTTCTGTTCCATCTCCATTTCTATAACATATGGCTAAACCAAACATTGCTTCTTTAATACCATTTTCTGCTGCTTTTTGATACCAATAGAAGGCTTTTTCTAAATTCTTTTCTGTTCCTTTTCCATTTAAATAACATATAGCTAAACTAAACATTGCTTTTTCATCTCCATTTTCTGCTGATTTCTGATACCAATAAAAGGCTTCTTCTAAATTCCTTTCCGTTCCTTCTCCATTTAAATAACATGTAGCTAAATTATTCATTGCTTTTTCATTATCATTTTCTGCTGCTTTTTGATACCAATAAAAAGCTTTTTCAAAATCCTTTTCTGTTCCTTCTCCATTTCTATAACATGTGGCTAAACCAAACATTGCGTTAATATGATCTTTTTCTGCTGCTTTTTGATACCAATAAAAAGCTTCTCCTAAATTCTTCTCTGTTCCTTGTCCATTTATATAACATACGGCTAATTTAAACATTGCATTAATATAATCTTTTTCTGCCGCTTTTTGATACCAATAAAAAGCCTTTTCTAAATTTTTTTCTGTTCCTTGTCCATTTATATAACATACAGCTAAATTAAACATTGCATTAATGTGGTTTTTTTCTGCTGCTTTTTGATACCAATAAAAAGTTTTTTCTAAATTCCTTTCTGTTCCTTCTCCATTTATATAGCATATAGCTAAATTGAACATTGCATCAGTATACCCATTTTCTGCTGCTTTTTGATACCAATAAAAGGCTTTTTCTAAATTCTTTTCGGTTCCTTTTCCATTTTCATAGCATATAGCTAAATTAAACATTGCTTCTTTAACATCATCTTTGGCTGCTTTTTTATACCAATAAAAGGCCATGCTTAAATTCTTTCCTGTTCCTTCTCCACTTCTATAACTATTGGCTAAATTAAACATTGCATTGGTATAACCATTTTTTGCTGCTTTTTGACACCAATAAAAGGCTTTCTCTAAATTCCTTTCTGTTCCTTCTCCATTTAAATAACATGTGGCTAAATTATACATTGCTTTTTCATTATCATTTTCCGCTGCTTTTTGATACCAATAAAAAGCTTTTTTGATATTCTTTGCTGTTCCTTCTCCATTTTTATAACTATTGGCTAAACTATTCATTGCAACTTCATTACCATTTTCTGCTGCTTTTTGATACCAATAGAAAGCTTTTTCTAAATTCTTTTCTGTTAATACTCCATTGTTATAACTATTGGCTAAATTAAACATTGCTTCTTTATCACCATTTTTTGCTGCTTTTTTATACCAGCAAAAGACTTTCTTAACTTCTCTATTACTATTTTTTACTACTGTTTTATACCGATTAAAGACTTTTTTACAATTCATTTCTGTCTCTATATTAAGCATTGCTTTTTTATCCCTAAATTTTGTTTTTATTTTGGCTATTCAGATAGTTTACTAAAAATTTTTATTTTTAGACGAATTTTTTGACAGAATTTTTTTTTTTATTCAATACGTCTTTCTATTTGTTCTTGTCCAACATTACAATTAAATAAACAATCATAACGCAGATCAGTGCATCGGATAAAATATAGCCCGAAAGAGTGACAATCGACGAATTTCTATCACATGATTTTAAATTCAGCGATCAATTGCCAAATTAAAACAGTTAACCCAAACAAAGCGGCACTTATTGTTCTTCCTTCAAAAAAAACTAAACAGCCCCTATAAAAAAGGAATGTTTAGAAAACATAAAAACATACATAAAATAAACATAAAATGTACATTATACATAAAATGTCTAAATGTCCATAGAATACATAGGATATATGCAAAAGGGACTCATATACTTTTTTGTACATTTTATATACAGTGAGCCCATTTTGTGTATTTTTTATATATTTTATGGACATTCTATAGACATTTTATGTATATTGTATATTTTACGTATATATTCTAAACATTCCTTTTTATAGGGCAGGCTACTTCATACACTGACACCCAGTTAGCCAAAGATACTTACAATAATAATACATTTAATATAAGTGATAGTGAGAACTCTAAAAACAACGGAACAATAAAACTTCTATACAACAATTCACAGTATTTAAAACAATGGTAATTAACCTTCTGAAAAATTACAAGGTCTCAACGACTCAATGCATAACGCCCACATTAACGATCGATCTATTGGATCACGTGATTCGGCTATTAACGTTCACGGCTTCAAATAGTACTACAGCTCATATTTTCCCAAATCAGAAACACATTTAAGGGGTTTCATTCTTTTGTGGAATCGTAGGAATACAAACCTAATGTTTTATTCCAATAACAGTCATTGTATAACTCAATCGGTTAACCACTCATAGGCTCTGTTCAAGCTAAATTAATTTATTACGAAAACACGTTGAACAAATTATTGCAGATAGCCCTAATAATTATCCAATAAAAGATTCGACAACATTGTAAACTATACTGATATTATAAAATATAATAAATATATTGACATCAATAACCGTAGACTTAACACCTATCTAAGATATCGAACTGCATCAGCAGTAGTTTCAGTCCGTCTAATGAGTTGGAGTATATAATTAAAGATAGCTATCATCAACATCATGAAGTTATAATGTGTCAACATATGCCATGTTTTACTCATCACCAAAAATGTAAAACGGCGAACTGTTTGTCAATAAACGCCCACTTAGAAACGATGCAAACCGACGACTAGCAGCTGAAAACGCATATATTTGGTTGAAAACCGCTTGGAAAACGCCCAAAACAACATAAAAAACGCATATATTATAGTGTAAAATAGTGTTAATTAAAACTTTTATTAATAGTATAACAACGTAATGTCAACGTATTGTTTATTATGTTACAATCTTATTATATTGAATCAAGTAAAAAAATTCTAGTTGCACCATCATCATTCTTCAATCGAGAAAAAAAAATCGATCCCATAATTTCTCTGTCCGTTCACGTGAACGTCATCCAATTATTTATTTTTTGATGATCGTCAGCATAGGGAAGGTTCTAAATTTAGAAACCGAGTTTTATCAATGTTACACATGATTTTACTATAAAATTCAATCCGCCATAGGATAAATGTATTATAGTACATAGTAAACAACTTAACATCTGACAAAAGCACTTTGTTTTATTGAAAACTACCAACATATTCAAAGACATCAGATGACATCCAGTGTTCCACCAAGTTTTCTGAACTATACCTACATGTTACAGTTGCTACACATATGCGTCAATTTCTGGAATTTGGCATTTGCATCAAAAAAACCAACTTCACCACATAAGCACAAATCATCAGGTGCACAAAAATAATAGATCAATATCAGATGATGTGAATAAAATTGATCGTCATATGATTTTTTTAATATATCAATAAAAAATTGGAATAAAATTATTGTGATAAAATTTTAAATAACTTGATGTATATAGCTAAATGGATGAATTTATATTTATTTAAAAGAGAAAACAATATCCAATGAATCTAAAAGCACATGAATTGAATCAATGGTTGCTAAGTAAATGCATTCGGTATATTTATTTTTAATTTTTAACTTTGATCGTTGATA